GAAAGAGCATTGAAAAAGGGACGATCTCTCCCTCGACGGCCCACCCCGAGAGACCATGGCACAGCACGTACAATCATCGTACAGTAAATGAGGACTGCAGTGAGGAGATCACAGTTCAACAGCCCAAATATAGAATCATCTCGACTTCATAGCCACTTGTGTGCTGTTTTACGATCACGCTGAGTCTCGTTTGTTCGGTCAGGCTGTGGCCTAAAGGGTCTAGACATGCAGCACATGTGAACGATGAACATGGATGGGTACGCTAGCGTGGCTATCGAAATATCTAACACAGCGTTCAGGAGATGAGAAACGTCGGACATTCAGGAAGGACAAATATTCATCTTTGGTATTGGAACTCCTATCAGAGATAGGGTCATTTTTCCACACACAAACAACACTCAGTGAAATAAATACTGATGGTAACTAGCAAATAAATAAAATAAATAGCTAGAAGATTGGAAATAAATACATAAATAATTATAAATACACAAAGTGGTTGTTCATGTTCAATTCAAGCTTTTTGTAGCCTAAGTATTTTTCATCAGGGTCTTCAAGACTTTGAGCTTTTTCCAGTATGAACAGCCATCGGCCAGATTGTGTGCTTGAAATTTTTACAAAAAAAAAAAGATTTCTCCATCCTCAGTGTGACATCTAAGAAATAATTTGAAATCAGATGGAAATTATGCAAGAGGAGAGAGCGTCCTGGATTCCTCTTTTCAGCCATTCTGTCAGCAGAAACTCTCCAACAAGTTAAATGTCTGTTGCAAAAAGAGACACAGCTGTTTTTGTCTCAAGTTCCTCCTCATATTGTCTGAGAAGATGCGACTCCAGTCCTGTGCTGAGACTGTAGTTGTCCCACAGCAGATGCCTTTTTTGACAACGAGGTCTGGCTTTTTGTAACAAAGGCATATAAAAAGAAAACAAGCTCTCTAAAAATGTTCATATTTTGGTTTCAGCTTCTTTATCCAGTAGTTTTTCCCTTTAAAAGAATCTCTGAAAGATTTGTTCGCATCCTCTTTGGTCATTAATTTTCTGTTTGTTGCAAAATCATCTCTCTCTCTCGAGAACCCTAAAAATATAATTTTGACTCTGACTTTCTGTCTGTCATGATCAACAAAGAAAACCCAGAAACATCTGCACTGATTTTAGATGCTGTAACGAATTACAAAATTAATAGATTCAATATCTATTCAGTACCTTTTCATAACCCTCAATATGTTGATTTGTGAATGATTTCACAAGCCCTGATGTGTTGGGCTCATCCTTTGCGATTAAAGCTAAAACAATCAGCGCTAAAACTACAATCAAATCCTGTCTCGTCTAGACATTGCGAACATCAGACTTAATCTTTGGTTTCATATGCTGTTGATTTGTATACACCCTTGATAAAAAATCTCAAACTCTAGGAGCTACAGGTAAACCTGTGCTGTGGAGAGCATAAAACGGCTCATTTTCCCATCATGCCGTGGAGCAGGTCACAGCTGGAGACACAGTGCTGGACCCTGATGAGCCGGTGGAGGATGGGCGGCCCTCTTCGGTCCAGCGGTTGTGGTTTCTGCGGCGAGCGTTCATGAAGAAGTTGCTTACGGTGGAAAGCTCAAGGCCAAGCTGCTGAGAGATGGTGATCTGCAGGTCTTTGGTCGGTCGGTGGTTCTCTCTGAAAATGGCAATGAGAGTACGACGCTGCAGGTCTGTGAAGACTAACCGGGTGCGCTTGGGCCCCTGGTTGCGCTCTAGCTTGGATTGCTCCTGCTCCTTACGCTTACAAGCTGAAAAAGAGACCGATAGAGAAAATAACCATTAGTCTACAAATAAGACCTGAAAATCTTAATTGGTCTTTCCATTATTATTATTAGCAGTTTATCTTTGTTATCTCTACACTTTGTTAATTGCAGAAAACATAAATAGTGTTTCATAAAGGTCTATTCAGTGTAGATCTTAACATGTGACTTGCATCTTTAACAATAATATAATTTAAAAACTGTAAACAGCAGAAAACAAAGAAAGATGCGCAAATAATGGTTGACAGCTTTATCAAGGAAATTATGGTCAAAGGCTAAAGTAATCTCCAATATTTAAGATCTAACATTTCAAAATGTTGAAAATATTAAATCTGAATAGCAACTAGGTATAATAATTAAGTCCTTCACTGTTGTAGAAAAATATGCTAACAATCAGGAAATTACAGTCGAAAGCTAAAAAAGATTTCAAATTTTAAAGATCTCAACATTTAAAATGTTAAACATTTGCATCTGAAGTGCATCTAGTTTGAGAGATGATAAGTCCTTTGCTATTGTAGAAGACCTTCGCTGTTGTAGAAAAATATGCAACAGATCAGGAAATTACAGTCGAAAGCTAAAAAAAAGACCTCAAATTTTTAAAAATCTTTAAAATAGAAAACACTGTATGTAAAATGAAACTGAGCAGTCCTGTGCAGTAGAAAAAGATGCAAAAGATCAGTTCGAGCAAATGTTGTCAATACTCTGCATTTATGTTTCACAATAATTATCATATAACGTTATTAAAGTTATATAATATACGGCTTAATTAACTACCGCACTGGCTGTAGACCAGACTATTGCCTGAAAACCAGAGAGAATCTCTATCAGACAACTGCCAACTTGATAGATAGATAAATGTACTTTATTGATTCCTGAGTGGAAATTCAGATTAAGTGATAAAGAGAAAGACTGTAAATGTGCTGAACAATAATGATCTATATCAAATACAACAGATGATGAAGAAACAAAACATTCAGAAAGTCTGTTGTCCTCAAAATGCATGTTTCAGTTCAACTCCAGATTCTCTCGATTGGCCCCACTGGTTTTCGCCAATACAACGGCGACCATTAACTAAATGCTTCCTGATGTTGTAATCATGTGTAAAAGGTAGGAATTACCATGCTATAAATTCTGCGCTCCGCACCTCACTCCCAGACATAAACATCCCCCCATAGAGTTCTTATGATTGTGGGAGCAGGCCCTAATCATGATGTATACCACTTGTCTCATGTAGCTGAAACGTGATCGAAAGCCTTTTTCATA